CAGTCCGGCTTCAGACCCGGGTACGGTACTGAATCTGCCTTGGTCGCCCTGTACGATGACCTGTGCAGGGAGAAGGACAGGGGGAGTGCGTCCCTGTTGGTTCTTCTGGACCTCTCGGCGGCTTTCGATACCATCGACCATGGTATCCTTCTGGATAGGCTAGCGGGATTGGGGGTCGGAGGCGCTGCTTTGCAGTGGTTCCGCTCCTATCTCAACGGTCGATTCCAGAAGGTGGTGCTGGGGGACTATGTCTCTGCACCATGGCAGCTATGCCATGGAGTACCACAGGGCTCCATTCTATCCCCTCTGCTATTTAACATCTATATGAAACCGCTGGGAGAGGTCATCAGGAGGTGTGGGCTGCGGAATCATCAATACGCTGATGATACCCAGCTCTACCTCTCGTTTTCCACTAATCCAGGTGAGGCAGTGGCTGTGCTGAACCGGTGCTTGGCCAAGGTAATGGAATGGATGAGGGCCAATAAACTGAAACTCAATCCAGACAAGACGGAGGTCCTGTTGGTTGGCGGATCGGGCTTCGGAGAGGGTGGATTGGACCTGGTCCTGAATGGTGCAACACTCCCTCTTAGGGATAAGGTCCGCAGCTTAGGAGTACTCCTCGACCCGGAGCTTTCTTTGGAAGCTCAGGTGACAGTGGTGGCAAGGAGCGCCTTCCTTCAGCTTCGGCTGATTAATCAGCTGCGCCCCTACCTGGAGTACGACTGCCTGGCGACAGTGACACACGCGCTGGTGACTTCCCGCCTAGACTTCTGTAACGCACTTTACGTAGGGCTTCCCCTGAAGACGGTCCGAACACTTCAATTGGTGCAAAATAGAGCTGCCAGGTTGCTGACGGGGACGGGGCGTTATGCTCACATGACTCCAGTCCTCCGTCAGCTTCACTGGCTTCCCATTGAAGCCCGGGCCCAATTCAAGGTGTTGGTTATGACCTATAAAGCCCTAAACGGCTTGGGTCCTGGCTACCTGAACGAGCGCGTACATCCGTATATGCCCGACCGCCCCTTGAGATCTGCGGGAGAGTCCCTTCTCCGGGAACCCTCCATGAAAGAAATTAGGAGAGTAAGTACTCGGAGGAGGGCTTTCTCTGCGGTGGCACCCAACCTATGGAATTCACTCCCCAAAGAGGTCCGCCTGGCACCGTCGTTACTGGTTTTTCGGCGCCAGGTAAAGACCTTTTTATTTAAACATCATTTTAATTGTTAAAATATATGATCTGGCCAGGGCAACTTCTTCTTCCTTCTCTGTTCTCCTCCTATATTCTTTATTTACTTATTTTATACTGTTAATTTTAATTTTATATTATTGTATCTCAGTGTATTTTTTGTATTTTTGTATTTAGTGGTAATTTATTATGTTCTATTGTATTTCAATGTATCTTATTGTGTTGTAAGCCGCCCTGAGGCTTCGGCAAGGGGCAGCATAGAAATGTAATAATAATAATAATAATAATAATAATAATAATAATAAAAACTAAAATGTGCTAATATGTTTGCCTCCTCCCCCACTCACCTCTGACCTTTTCCCCTAGCTTTCAGACTGAGCCACTAAAATGTGGTGTTCAAGAGTTTCCCCAAAACTGAATTCTGCTTTCAGGCTGAAAGAGTTTTGGTGCCCTTCCATTAGAGGAATGAATGTGGCATATGCCAGTAAAGGAAGGGGGGGGGCATTAATTTTCTCTTTAGACACTTTCCAAGTGTTCACTTGGAATGGTGCTCCTACTGATAATGGTAAAGGAAATGAAGAAGAGAGAATAGGGTTTACACGGTGTTATCACAACCATATCAGGAATCCACAGCAGTGGCCAGTACAGACACCATGGACTCTTCCTGCTATTTTTTACATTGGGAGATGGTGAAACAAGGTTGTATATCCCATCTCCACTTCTGTTTATGCCATCAGCAAGCACAATTAGCATAGTGCTGACATAACTGAGTTAACCTGAATAAAAAAGCAATTTAGTCAGCATCTTCACAGGCAACATAGTGCTCTTTATATTCAGCCCAAATAGTTCGATCCCTATTGTTAATACAGAGCTATGGGAAAGCCTATATATATATATATATATATATATATATATATATATATATATATTTGTAAGTCTGACCTCCTTTGCCCCCCACACCCCCGGCATGAGCAGAGCATATAATAATCAACAGAATTATGGTAAAATCAGTCGGCACTGCATCTCTTAAATGTATACAGGCACATATTCTCAAAAAGTTGCCCTCATGACAAAAGCTCAGTTTTGAAACACTTTTTTTAAACAGCCCAACATGATTGCAAACAACGAGCAAGAACTTCTTCCTCATTATTCAGCTGTTAGAATGTTTCCAAAGTTGAACTTTTCTTCTCAAACCATCATATAATGGTTCCATCTCAATTTTAGCCTCCATTAATTAATTAGCTAGTTCCTTCATTCACCAATGAAAAACAACCCTGACATATTTCCCAATCATCATTGTATTACATTAGCTTGATGGGAAGCTGAAGATACTGCATTTCAGTTGCAACAATTGATCTCAACTGATGGCCCCAACAGGACCTGTAACCAATGTTTATCAAGATGCTGGTTGCTTCCCATCAGTAGCACAATCACTCTTTGGACTGTGTCATCCTTTCCTGAGGGACTTGCTGCATGTATACAAAGGTGGGCAGACAAGCCAGCACCAGTACTGGATTTCCCCTCTACTTCCTTTAGTGCAGCACCTGCTATTTGCTGATTTGTCTAAAATGGTGCACATTGAGAGATGGACATCCTCTCATAATTTTAGGTTTTGTGATCTACATGTTAAGCACAACTCATTGGGCTGTGCTGATCATACAAACACAGGGATTGTCAGGTTCACAGCATAAAGGGCCTATCTAATAAAATGAATTGATTGGTTTCAGATGCATTAGTTAACTGATTTATAAATATCTTGATCATTAAAGCACAAGCAAGCTGATTCACACCACCTTTGAAGCAATATTATTTCAGGGAATGGAAAGGGATTGACATCTGTAGCATAATATGCTATTACTGGATAGGCAGGGCTCAATTGACATTGCATGGAAAAAGGACTTGGGGTAGAGCATTCCTTCACAGGCATGGAATGTAACATGGAAAAAACAGCCATTAAAATCCTTTCCAAAGAAGGTCACACAGCAAAGCCAGTTGGCTAATGGACTTGATGAAGACTGTTTTTATGAAAATTGTTATCCATTTATTTCCTTTGTTAATGAGCATAAGGACTTTACTTGTCCAGTTAGCAACCCTATAAAAGATACTCTGGAACGAGTGACTTGTTTTCTTTGGAACTTAACCTAAACCCTTTCTCCGCAACAGATTCTAACTTGTTCTATTGTTATGCTTGGTAAGAATTTCCCTAGTTTGGCTCCATTTTGACTCAAAACTGTGAATATAACCTGAAATGACAAGAAATTTCTTTGGTTTTTTGTCCTGCTATGGCAAATAGAGAAAAGTTTTTAAAAACATTGAAGCTATATATTTGAACATAGGTCACACTCATACAAAAGTATCATTATTTGAGAATGCACGTTCATGAGGATTTCCTAATTTTGCCAATTTAGTATAACTTCATGCACAATGGCAAAATATGCATGCTATTATCCAGCTGACTTTAGTACTTTCTAGCTAGCTATTTGTCACATGCCTTTGTCATTACTCATCTCCATCAAGGATATGTACACCAGAAAATTGCCTCTCAGTTTCCATTTGATAAATAGTCAGTTTTGAAACATTAATTTTAAAACAACCTTTCTCTGATGAGGCCAAGGAGTGCATTAACATATTTTTTCATTATCTGGAGAGGTTTCATATGCAACTTCTAAGTTATATATCTAAATTATCTCTGACAACAGAAGAATATAATCTGAGATTATAGATATTATATATATTGGCTATATATATATATAACCAATTGCTTCTAAAAAGTATGGCTTTTAACAATATTGTTTAGGCTTTACTGATGACAAAGCTAAACCTCTTTATACAAGATGGGCTTTATGGCAGAATATACTAATTTCACTTACCTAGTTTTGCAATGAAGAGTCTTGAGATGCCTGGCATGCTAGCATTCACTGCAGCATAAGCTTTCATGGAAGAAATCCCAGGTCATCTGATAGCCACAAAAGCTTATGCCACTATAAACTGTGAGCCTTTCTATACAAGGCATTTATTGTGCACTCATGATTCCTCACTCAAATTTTAATGGGTTGTTTTGCTTCTGCTTTTAAGAGCACTTTCCTGTTTTTTTTTTTATTTTTTAAAGAGCAGGAAAACTGAAGCATTACTTCTAAAATGGAAGTAACTACTTTTGTATTAGATTTTGTATTTATTTGATTGGAATGCTTTTCTATTCAACTCCACCTTGCATATAAATATGACATACTTACCACTAGCTCTTACATTACTTCATTTTTTTTGGTTCCACTTACTACATTTTTGTCCCAGGTAAGCAGGATAGGATTGCAGTTTAAGTAGTGTCTGGGCTAGAGATGCCTATGTCGCAAATATAGCTATTTGTTAATCTTTCAGGTTCGACAAAAGCTCCTTGCTTTTTTCCCTTCAAAAAGAATGTTTGAAAACTTTTTTAGATCCTAAGACTTCCATGAGCTTTTAGAATTTCTATAGGTCCAAGTATTCACAGAGACATTACATCTCTAGGAAAGGTCAACATTTCCTGGGATAATAGCAGTGATACCCAATCAATGGTGGTAGTGGTGAGCTTTGTGAGCGGTAGCTGAGTGCCAGTCTAGACACCCTCTGTATCACTTTCCATTTAGAAGTCATGGGAGTTGACATTTAGAAAAGGTGCTAATTTGCACCTATACCATATACAAAAAGTAAAGCCTGATGTTTGAGGACTCATGAAAGTCATGAAAAAAAACTATATAGGATTAATGGGGAAAACATTATGCTTGCTGTGTCCATGACGGAAACATTTCAACATATTTCACATTTATGAGATCATACTTACATTATCATTGCTTCCTTTGTTGTCCTCATATTTTGTCTCTATGTGAATGGAGAATTTAGGCAAAAATGAACACTGCAAAGGAAAAAAAATGTGTAAGAACTATAACCATTACTGAATTCATTAATTTCTGTGTCCTTACTGTTGATCTGTTTCATTATTTTCAGTACATGACAGGAAATAATTCATTTCAATTCATGAGCCTCCATCTTGCATGTCAAGAGAAATTCTGTGTTTGGATTGACACTTCCAGAGTGCTATGCTTCAAAAATTAAAAACAAAAACAAACAAAACTAGGGAACAAAAGAATGATCAAGACCAGGGAAACATTTACCTTTCTTTAAAATTGGCCTCATATTCTGGGGAGTGGTCAACATTACTGTTTTGGGACCAATTCTAGAAGACTGGATTGGCTCAGAGTGGGGACAGGAGGATTAATCCACAAATCCCAGCAACATATAATTCCTGCTACAATTTTTCAGCCCTGAGAATGAATTCACAGCAGACAATGCTTCCCCCACTGTTGCTGGGTAGGCTTACCTATTTAGATATTGGGATGGAAACCTCAAGGATTTATTTCCTGGCATGATTAAGGCAGCATGAAGGGATAAACAACCCTGCATGTAAGCATGTATGATAAAATCTGATTTTGAGAGTAGACGGAGCAGAAAAAAAGGAGAATGGAAATATTTAACCTTCCTTTGAGCGGCTACTTCTCTATTCCAAATCATTTCAAGCCAGTGTTCCTACCATAAACACATTTGGGAAAGATTTTTGTGGTAAACTAACCCTGCTTTATGGTGAATAAACTAGAATGGGCTGTGATGATGACTGAGCTGCTTTCAAATGAAAACCCTCACGAAACAAATCTCAACATAATTTGAAATACAAAATAAGGATATTCCCCATATGCATTAGGTAGATGCAAATATTCTATACAGAGCACAATGTACAACATTCTGGAAACTTGTTGAAGTGATAGTTCCTGGGCATAGAGAGACCAGAGCTCAGTGGCAGAAAAACTGTTTGCATTCAGAAGGCTCTTGGCTTCTTGTTTCTTCGAAAACATTTAAGAAACATGACCTTTCTTTCTTAATTTTTAAAGGATCATATAGCAGTCAATGGGGAAAAACCCCAGACTGAAAGTTGCTGCCACTTGTAGTTGACAATACTAGGTTAGATGGGTCAGCAGGCCAACCTTGGATAATAGTACAACCTTCCTATATTCTAGAGAACCATAAGAGGGATGGGTTGGGTTCAGGGATTCCACCCCTAGGGCAGATTTCCACTCTGAAACTTTCTCTCCAGTGGGAAAGTAATATTCATCAGTTACCACAAACCTTGTAGTCCTGTTCACCACCCCCCAGAGCGTATCACAAAAACTTCTAGGCAAATTTTCAGGAGCCATAGTGCGCTGCAAAGTGCAAAGGATCACTTCCTGCCCAGTACCACCTGTGGGAATATATTATGGCAAAGATGCTTGAACCCCTTTTAGCCCAAGGGTTGAACTCTGTTTCAGAGAAGTTCTATTCAGTGGTAGATGGGCCAAAGGCAAGGGGGGCTAGGCCTCAAAACCAAAACTCTAGTATGTTAGCTTAAAGCTCTTCCTGCCAGTAACTAAGACTTAGAAGGAGCTGTTCAGTCTTTTAAAATTGGGGGGGGGGGGGGGAGCTTCTGAAGCGCAAGGAAATCAGCAAATGGTTATTGGTGGAAAGGAAGCAGGGCCAGAGGAAAGGTGAATGGGTTCCTGGGGAAACCTGGATGGCTGGACTAGAACTCCCTGAGAGCTGGATTTAGCTCTTGAGCTTCTGCACCCTGTTCCACAGTGTCGGATGCATTGTGCAAACAAAGAGAATTCTCTGTCTGTGGGAGGCAGATCCTTGATCCAATCCTATTGGGGCTTTTTAAGCTAGTGTTGCCCCTTTACTTCTACAAGGGCCTAAAGCAAAGATCTCCCAAGGCCCCAAGTCCAACACTCTAATCCCTACACTATACTAGCTTATGCTCCTGAAATTCCACAGATGAGTCAGTGCAGTTGCACACTAAAATCCTGGAATGACAGCACCCTCTTTGGGGAAGATATTAGGATGATGCTTAAAAATAAAGAGCATAAATGTGTATTATTATACCCAAGAGTTCTTCAAATTTCAGTCCCCTCCCAGGTCTGTTAAATCTATTAATGCAAAGCTGGGCCGATGCATTTTTAATATATGAGTGTAAAGGCACATGCATGGTCAGCAAAAATGTCATTGCTTGGCTTCCCTTCTACCTCACCTATCCCATAAACACTGATGCACATACTGAGCAGTATCCAGTACTGATGTTGTGCTCCTGCAAGACTACACTTTTAGCACTTGACTTTGGCATTTCCTAAAGAAGACCTTAAATAAGCAGAAAGTGAGATATTATTTCCCAATCACGCAATTAATCATCATGAGGAGTTGGTATGGTCTTGCAATTCAGCTGTACAGGCAGTCCCCAAGTTACAAATGTTCGCATTACTAACAACCCTTACTTACAGATGAACTGCCATCCAGCCTATTAATTTAAAAAATTATTGCAGATAATTATCATCACCGTAGAGAGAGAGGACACAAAAGGGGAGAGAGGGAGGCCTCCACCTCATGTCTTCCTGCCTTGCCCATCCAGAGAGGGAAATCTCTGTGCCACTTTCTTGCTGCAAACAGGAGACCCTGATGAGCTGGGGAGAGGGGGGGCAGACAGGGAGCTAGTGATATTTGTATTTTTTCCACTTTCACAGGGGTCCTGCACCCCTAATCCCTGCAGATGTGGAGGGCCAACTATATGTGAACCAACTTGCATATAAATTCAACTTAAAGATGAATGTCTGTTTTCTCAGGAACAGAACTTGTTTGTAACCCAGAGACTTCCTGTATCACCACACCACCTTGTGGATGTGTAACGGAATACACAGAAAGGCAAAGGGAAAAGACCTGGGTGGGGGATGTGAAAGGATCTACTTTTATTCCTACAAAGAAAAATGGAAGAATTAGTCTCTGTAAAGCAGCAGCTAAATTGCCTTATGGAGATAAGCCCAGGACAAGTTAGTAGAGCTCCCTTCTGCAATCTGCACTTGAAGTGTGCTGTTCCAAAAATGAATGGCAGTGCGAGTTTGAAATTATTTTAAGCACCACTCATTCCATTGTTCTCGTTGTCAGTCCCACAGGCTATATGCACAGAAGGCTAGTGATAATATTTTATTAAAAGCAACAGGTGGGGGGGGTTCAGAAATGTATGGGGGGAAAGGTGCTGTGATCCATGGTGTGGGAACAGCACTGTAACAAGAACCATTGTGTGTCCCTTGTATCAGCTGTGTAATGTTAAAGAAAATGGAATGAAAGCAGAAGCAAACCAGTTTAATTACCGAGACCTTTTGTCAGTATTCCCTGGATGGATGGAGGTGGAAGAAAAAAAAGGCAGCTATGGAAAATACATAGCCATAGTTAGATTTTTAATTTACTGCAGACGCCCTCTGAAGGAAAAAGAGGCTATTTTTAGCATGATGATTGATTAGTGTTGCCATAGCAATATGAAATAACAGCAAGAACATGATGGTATAATGTAAGTAAGCGAACACAAGTTCCAAAGAATTAAAGGCACAGGATGCAACGCACATGGTGTTTTCCAGTCAGCCTAGGGTGACTGCTACAGTAGCAATCCTTCCACAGCAATTGCATCTGAGGTGAAGTGAATTGCAAGCTTTTGAAATTAAAATATAGGAGATTAAGCCAGATAACAATATTTCTCCAGTCTATCTAAGTACAGCTTGTAGGACAACCAAGCAAAATGTTTCACTTCATTTAACAGTGTAGTGAAAATGTGTTATGGAAAATCCAAACAGATGCAGAGTATTATGTCACATTGCTCTGTCCTTTAGAAACATTTTCTGAAATAATTTCAGGTAAAATAAACCCAGTTCTTTTCAAGAGTAGGAAAGACATATTCATTCATATAAAGATAAAATAGCAAAGTCTCCTTGCACACAAGCTACTATCTCCACAACTCTTACCATTTTTTCACACACACACCAATTTTGCATACAAAGTTGTATTTATTTACATATATTTATAGGCCGCCTATAATTGTGGAGGCCTTCCTCTCAGGCACCATTTTCTGTGTTGTCTTCCTCTCTTTCGCAGACCTGATTTATGGCAAATTGTTCAGTCTGAAAACTCAGTGAGGGTATTAGCCTGTCCAGTGCGATCTGACAAAGTAGTATTGAGGCTTTTCAAAACTATTGGCACTTTAATTAGTGGCTCCTTGCTCCTTGCTTTTAAAAGTGGCTTCTGCTGTGCAATTAGATTCTTCCTCACCTTGTGTGCTACCAACACATTCACTAGTAGTAGGAGACACTACAGGAAATTCAGGCCAGAATAGGAAACCCCAGGAACACAAATCCATTTATTCCATTTATTTATTGGAGTGAAATCATCCAAATGGGCCAGTCCTGTTCACTGCCTGTAACATAGCAATAAAGCTTGCTGAGTTCAGCCCTAAAAAGCACTGGCACCTTGCCCTGTCAGCAGTGACATAATTTGGTCTCAAATAAGTACAATCTTCAAGTCATTTTGGCTGAGTTTCAGAGCCACAAGATTTATTATCACATCTAAATCATTGTTTAAAGTTATTGACTTAATTAGGTTTAAAGAAAACAAAACCCATTCCAGCTTTCTGCCAGCTCAGACTCTTCTGGAATGATCTGAAAGTGTGGATGTTGCTGTCACTGTCAGCAAGAGATGTATCCTTAATGCCACAGCAGGAAATGACTGCCAAAAGGTAATGCTTTGTGAAATGCAATTTGCCACAGCTGCCTGAAGCATGTTGCCATTATCATTTATTTGTTCAAGAAAATTTCCACTCATCTTTCAGCCCCCACAAAGGGCTACAAGATGGCTTCCAGATTAAAAATGGAAAAGCTACAAAAAGTGAGATAGATAAAATATATTAATCAACTCATTGAAACAGAAGTGTGGAAGGTTATATAGGAGGCCATGTAGCCTCTTTTACAGAGGACTGTCTTCTGTTTGTGTGGCATTCCAGACCAATTCTTTTTT